ATCCTCTTGCCTCAGCCTCCCAGGTAGCTGGGACTACAGGTGCCCACCATAACACCCAACTATTTTTTTTAGAGATGGGGTCTCACTCTTGCTCAGGCTGCTTTTGAACTCCTGAGCTCAGGCATTCTACCGACCTTGGTCTCCCAAAGTCCTAGGATTACAGGCGTGAGCCACCATGCCTGGCCCTTCTCATGACATTTTTCATTCCACCATATGTTATATGGGAGGACATTATATGCTTTTTAATAATTTAAGATTGATAAAGAGCTTGGTACAGTTGCCACAGGGTCTACTATACATAGGATGACCATAAAATTTACTATTGAAATTTTAATCATTATGTAATCAACTTTTCATTGTTGATATCTTATTCCAACTTGATGCATGATCTAGAGAGAGTTTTAATTTCTCATTAACTTCAATTCTGCTAGCCTACTTTTTCTTTTTTTTTCTATACTTATCCCCTTGAGCAGGTTGAGCTGTTGGAAAAGAAAAGTCATTTTCTACTGGGAAAACCAGGTAGACCGTCATGGAAGAAGGAATTAATCTGGGAAGGACTTCTTTTGCAGTAGTGGCAAAGAGGGCCCTCTCAGTAGAGAGCTTATATATTTATACAAGAGAGGGAAGTAAAAAATTGTGAAGCATATTTATGGAGAAGCAAATGGCTGCTGGGTGGCTTCTGAAATGCTGTGGAAATGCAGTCAAGTACACTGGCATCATTTGCTAGTCACGTGGTTGTGGAAGATACAGAGAAGTTTAAAGAAAGGAAAGTTTTTCAGTTTCCTCAGTTTTTGAAAAGCAACCAAAGGAAGAAAACATTTTTTACTTCCTGAAGAAGCTCCTATTATTTAAAGCTAGCCTGTCACTCCATTATTAATATTCTTTCATTTAATGAATACGGGTGTAATATTTGCCATTTCAGTGGTGTGCCTTTTTAAAAAAGATGTCATCACTAGACATCTCACACTGAAATGTGTGCTGGTTAATATAGTAAATGCATGTTGGGAGAGTTATCTAATGTTATCTTATGAGTGATTGAAGGTGAGTAGAGATGCCTCTCTCCTCTGCTTCCTTGGCAAGAAAGTGAGCTAACGACCAAGGGAATGACCCAAGTTGTAAAATAATTCACAGATTTATGTCTGTATATTTATGTATGTTGCCTAAATATTCATATATTTATTCTATTATCAGAGACTATGTGAGAGTATGTTCTTCATTCTTCATTTTTTTTAATAAGTTGTTTTTTTTTTTGAGACAGTCTTATTCTGGTAGATTATCATGGTAGATTGCCATGGCATCCTAAAAGCTCACAGCAACCTCAATCTTTTGGGCTTGAGCAATACTCTTCCCTCAGCCTCCCGAGTAGCTGTGACTGCGGGCGCTGGCTACTGCCCAGCTATTTTTTTCTATTTTTAATAGAGATGGGGTCTTGCTCTTGCTCAGGTTGGTCTCTAACTTGTCAACTCAAGCAATTCACCTGCCTTGGACTCTCAGAGTGCTAGGATTATAGGTGTTGAGCCACTTCAACCAGCAGAGACTATATTTTTCATGACTATTAAGATCTACTGATAAATTTCTATATAGTTTTTTTGTAAAATAAATTTTTAAAGTTTCCTTCCAGTCTAAATTAAAAACAAACAAACAAACAAAAATTAATGATTCCCTTCCTCTCTATCTGGGTGGAGCTACTTGTCTAAATTTTACTTAAGTACCATAGTATTTGACACAATAAGATGATTCCCCTGGAGAATCTTGTTTCTGCCCGGGGCTGACATGAAAAGAAGCAATTTGTCAGACTAGTGGAGCTTGCTAACAATTCAAATAAGCAACCTGTCTTTGCCTTCTTACTGCATATCAGTAGAAACGTTAATGATAACAGAAAACCGCCTCCTTCACACCCTGCAGGGAGCAGAGATTATTGGGTCAGAAACAGTTTTCTTGCTTTGCGCCCCCTTAACAAGCACAACTGTTAGGTTAATAGCAGTCTCACCAGTTTCATATTTATTAGCACAGTGTTTTCAAAGTAATAGTTATCTCTTTAATTCAGCCAAATAGATTGTTGCCTCATTTTTGCCATTATCTAGCATGTATGTGTTTACATGTAAGCCATGTAAATATTTCAGAGTGAAAAGCAATTAAATGTTCTCTCTTAATATGTATTTTGACAGGCGATGACTCTTTAAAAATATTTCGATAGAACTGAAAGAATAGACTTGGAATGTTCCTAATACAAAGAAATGATAAATGTTTGAAGTGATGGATGGTTATCCCAGTTACCCAAATTTGATTGTTATACACTGTATGCGTGTTATGGATATACATGTATCCATAAATGTGTACAACTATTACATATCCATAAAATTTTTTTCAGAAGGGCTCCCTTGGATTATACAACTGAAGATGATTTTCTTATCAGAAGTCTAGCACTTTTCACATTTTCCTCTCCTCTTTACCACTACAGTTTGAGAGCTCCCTGAGGCAGAACACACATGCCTTAGTATTTGTGCCCTCAGTACCTACCAGACAGTCTGTAAGTACTGTCGAGTTATTTAACGACTTGGCTTTGGGAATAACCAACTTCATTGCCCCCTTCTTGAGTTTATCTTCAACGCATATCTGTAAAATATTGCTGTACTAATATAATTGGGTTACACAGTTACCTAAAGCTTGTCAAATTCTTAGGGGATTCTCAATAACATCTCTGTTAACATCTCTGTTATTGAGATGTTAATAGTGTGGAGGAGAAAAATTTCTTTTCTCACTCATCTCTAGGTTCGTGTGTGAGACCCCTTTAATAAAAGACAGATCAACAAAAGCATACAAATTTATATAGATTTTATGTGACATGGGAACCTTCAGAAATTGTGACTCAAATAGGAAAAAGTATTTTTGTGCTTGAATTGGTAGAGTGGACAGTTCTGTAGAAGTATGATTAGGCAAAAGGGGGCATGATTTAGATGGTAATAGACTGGGGGAATTTGTCATCTCTGTGCCTTCAGGGACAGGGATACTCCTTTCCTTGGGATCTAGGGAGGTTACCTGTCTCATGAGGGTCTTATGCCCTACTTTAGAGGAAGGTCAGAATTCTTTATTGGCCTGCTTTATGGGAGAAGATCAGAGAGACCTTTTTGCTGTTGAGCTTGTCTCAAATGCCAGCATACCATATTTTGGGATAATGTGCCCAGAAACCCATCAATAGTAAGTAATGAAATTAGTTATGTAAGTCAGATATTCGGAGATTTACAATCTTTTAGCTTACTTTTAGGAGAGTATAACTTATTAGTTCCAAGCAGACATGGCAGTCAGTTGTTGGCTACTTTGGGAACTTGAAAATAAGACATAGTATTATCTTTAGGCTTTTCCTAAGAAAAGTATAATCTCTAGCAATATTTCAAAAAATTAGCTGGGCTTATTTATGTACTAGCATCAATGTATCTCTTTATACCATTTAGATTGAATTATAACATTTTCGTGTATCACTTGTGTTAAGTAGTAAAGTGTCCGTAAAATAATCGGGCAAAGGAATAGTCGTTAGGACTTTGATGAGAGCTGGACATTATTTGTCTTTTACTAAAAAGCAGTCATTGACTGAATGAAATTTCATACACAAGCTTTGTTTTGAACAAAAAACTCTCCTGGCAGAAAATGCAAAGTATATTAAAGATGGAAAAGAAAAATAAACTGTTATTTATTTTATAAGTATTTATTATTTTATTATTATCACTAGTAAGTGAAAATGATATCAAAAGGGCTTTTGGTTTAGAGTTTGCAAAAGTCTTTCTTGAATTCTTTGCTATTTTGTTTCTTGTCTTAGAAATATGGTGAGATAGACTCAGCAAACTCATATTTTTTAAAATTTTATTTTATATTAATACTTTGAAAGCTTATGATTTCCTGGCAGATTTTTTTCTTGTGGCCCTGTAGAGATAAAGTTGTTGAATAATTAATTAAAAGGGTGAGTATATTCTCTATTTCCTAATTGTTTAGAAATAGTTTCTTTTATGTATTTGGATGCATAAAAAGACTGATTAGTTTCTAGATTTTCGAATTAATATTTCTCCAATTAACCGCAAGAAGCATTTGAATAGGTAAAAAAGATGAACAGTAATATGTTGTATTGATGGATGATTGGATGGATAAGTAATAAGTGGAACCACAATGTTATTCATTAATTTTTTTTAACACTTTCTACTTTACATGTTTGCCTTGTAGAAACCTTTATTAATTTCACATTTTTAAAATTTTCAGGTAACTTGGGTTTTTACTCCCGTAACAACCAAAATAACAAGTCTTGATACAGAGAATATAGATGAAATTTTAAGTAAGTACCTTGATATTTTTAAAGTATACTTTCTAATGTATAAAAAGAGTCAGTTTGGATACAAAAACAATAAAATCTTAGTTACCTAGACTATATGAAGAACTGGCATTCTGATTAATCCCATAGCTTACAGACTTAAGTACTTTTGCTTTTGATTTTTAGTAAAATTTCTTAAAATATATAAATCTTCTTGTCTGTGTTATAAGGATGGTGATTCTTTCAGTCTTTTTTTATTTTTTTGCCTTGATATAGGTGCCATTCTTAGCAATTCATACAGTATTTTTCTAAAGTAGTAGTACTAAATGCATAGAACTAAAAGGTTAACGACTATAGAACATAGCCTGAATTTTTTTTTCTTTTTTACTTGAACGAAATCACCTACTTTGATCTCTTTCATTGTCATGGATCTAGTTAAGTTCACTTAAGTGTTTCACTGAATACTTTGCTGGCATTGTGATTATAGATACAATTACTTGGGGGAAACCATTTCTCTTTTTTTTTTTTTTTTGAGACAGAGTCTCACTTTGTCACCCTCGGTAAAGTGCTGTAACATCATAGCTCACAGCAACCTCAAACTCTTGGGCTGAAGTGATTCTCTTGCCTCAGCCTCCCAAGTAGCTGGGACTACAAGCGCCTGCCACAACGCCTGACTATTTTTGGAGATGGGTTTTGCTCTGGCTCAGGCTGGTCTTGAACCTGAGAGCTCAGGCAGTCCACCCACCTCGGCCTCCCAGAGTGCCGGGTTTACAGGCATGAGCCACCACGCCCCGGCTACCATTTCTCATTTTTAAAAATAGCATTGGGAAGGTGCAGATGCAGTTGATAGAAAATCACAACTTTGGAACTTTACAAAAATGTACAATGCGCCTTGATAATTTCCTTTTTCTTTTTTTTTTTTTAACTTCATTTCTGCTACTGGTTTACACATAACAAAACTAAAAGTTCAAAGATAAAGAGAGTTTTAACAGTCATTGACCATCATATGTTTTGTGCTCCTGAAATTTTAAATAGTAATGAGTGATTCCCATCTTATGGGATCTTTTTAGAGCAAGGTTCCATAAACTTTGGCATGTATCAGAATCATCTAAAGAATTTATTAAAATCTGTACTGCTAGCCCTGATCCCCAATTTCTGATAGAAACTGCCAGACCTCCACCTAAGCATTTGCATTTCTGAGAGTTCCTAGGAGATGTTAAGGCTTCTGGTCCAGAAGCCACAATTTGTGAACCACTGCTTTAGAGTGAATAACCAAATGCATAAAAGTACTTTGAAGGTAAAAAAAAAAGGAAAAAGGGAACTGAAACTCACATGCCAGTCTCACTCCTGTCATCTTCTCAATTCGAGAATATCTTTGTGTTTTATTTTTGTAACTTCTTAAGAAGTTTAAGTTTCTCTCTGATTTAGGTTTAGGCAAAAGAAATAGTGCTACATCTTTCTCCTGTCCTCACATCCTGATATGCAAATGATACTAAGTTATTTTTACAAATAGAAACAGAAAATAACTTAAATGGACAGGAACCAGAAAAAGTGCCTCTGGTGCTATTAGTGATTAGCTTGTTGCCAACTAGCGGAATATCTGAGAGTTATAAATAGCTTGGTTATACAGGTCTATTCTGTGAAATAGGATTTTACTTAAAGAGCTAATTCTTAGTCATTCATGAATATGGAAGATCAAAAAATGGATTATTAAAATTCAGATCATTCCACTTTATCTTTTATGAGAGTAGGCTGGTTAGTAGCTTGCTTGCATGGCCTGGATTTGATTTCCCTTTTGCTTTATAATCATTTAAAATGCAGCGAAGGCATAAAGATTGAAGATAGAAAAGAGACAGGGGCTCCCACAAATTAGGTAAGCCATTTGTGACTCTTATGTGTGGGTTTCTGAGTAAGAGGTAATTTAATTATTACTGAGTTATTTTAGTGGGCCTTTATAATCAGAAAAGATCATGATGAAACTGTATCTTTATGTCAAAATTATGTAGATGTATAACAAATAACGTAGCTTGTTTGGTTTTGTTTTTCAATTTCAGACAATGCTGATGTTGCTTTAGTAAATTTTTATGCTGACTGGTAAGTAATCTTGTTTTAACTTTTTTTTTTTTTTGCGTCACTTAATTTTTAAAAAAAATTTATTTTTGAATTTGTTAAAGGTGAATTTGTTTTGCTAGATAGGGGTGGTTGGGAAAATCTTTTTCTATTGTATATTCCATACACAAAATTAAAACTAAGGTTTATCCATAAATGAAGCCGTTTAATTTGGTGATGATTTCTATTTTTAAAAGAGAAATATAACTGATTTCATAATCCCATATTTTATAAACAGGCAACATAAAAACTCAAATATGTATGCCTCCCCCACCTCCCCACAACAAAGTAATATATACTGTAATTCTGTTTGTCCCAGTTGTGGAAGGAAGGCAGTGTTTGAAGGACAGGATTTGGGTGTGGCAAGTTTAGGAGGAAAAATAATGTTGGACATTTTTAAACTTATATATACATAATTTGCTACCTCTTCCAGGAAGCCTTTACTCCTTCCCTTAGCTGAGTCAGATCCTGTGCAATTTTTTTTTTTTCCTTACTAAGTGTTTCATCCTTTCTTCCTTGTTTGTACCCTAGCAAACAAACTTTGAGGGCAGAGATAATGTCTTTTTTGGTATTCCCAGCATCTCTAGAACAAAGACGTGATACATAGTAGAGATTAAAGAATGTGGATTAAAGAATGGAGATAGAAGAGGAATTTAGCTGAAGAGACGTTTGAATCCCTGGCATATTCTTTATTCCTAGATACTCTATCTTATTTGACCCTTGAAGGGTTACTACCTACTAGCTGCCACTACCCTATTTCAGGCGATGGTCCTTCAGTTTACCTAGAATTCTTGAAGTCCCTCATTTTCTGTGCCTCTAACCTTAGGTATCTCCAATTACTTCTCTGCAGTATAAACCAAAGTTCTCTTTCCTACAAGGCAAATTAGATTAGTCTAAAATTTGATTTATGGCCTGGTCCCTTTTCCCTCTGTAGCTGTGTCCCCTTGCCTGTCTCTACTCCCATATTCTGCTCCAGTGATATTGAGCTTCTTTCAATTCCTGTAAAATTATGTATTTCATCCCTAGGCCATTCATATTTTCCCTGTCTGGATGGATCATTCTTTTCTCACCCTCTTCTTTACTTAGTCAAGTCCTAATCATCTTTCAAATCTTAGATTAAATAACACTTTCTCTGGTCACCTTCCCAGGTGAATATGTCTACCCCTGCTGTCAAAATCAGATTAGGAACTCTTCTGTATTTCCCATAGCACTCTGTTCTTATGCAGGTATAACACTTTTATGTTATAATCTACTTATGTTATAATCTAAATTGTTTGCTTTGTGAAAATAGTTATTATACCTATTTTTTTTTACATTAGTCCCTAAGTACTTCGTATAATATGTGGCTGATAAGTACATATGAAATATCTGCTGAATGAATTTATGCATGATATGGGCATTTAGAGAACTTCTGTAAAAAGTTGAAAATACACAGAGAAAATACCATTTATAAAATATGTACCAAAGGTAGCATTTTCAAGGTAAATTAGGATTAGCAATCTGTAATTAATAGCCACAAAATTGGGTGGATCATTCAATCTGTTTTAAAAGTAAGAAAACTAGCTGGGTGCAGTGGTGGCTAACTCCTGTAATCCTAGTACTCTGGGAGGCTAAAGTAGGTAGAACCTTTTAAAAGCTCAGGAGACCAACCTGAGCAAGAGCAAGACCCCATCTTTACTAAAAATAGAAAAATTAACCAGGCATTGTGGCAGGTGCCAATTGTCCCAGCTACCTAGGATGCTGAGGCAGAAGAATCACTTGAATCCAGGAGTTTGAGATTGTTATGAGCTAGGCTGAGGCCATGGCACTGTAGCCCAGGGCAACAAAGTGAGCCTCTGTCTTCAAAAACAAAAGTAAAAAATTAACAAACCTAAAAATACCTAGATCCAGAGGAATACAGTACTTTTCCAAGGTTACCTGCCTAGATTGTGGCACAGGAAAAACTAGAACAAAGTTCTCTCTTGACTGAGGGCTTTTGTGTGTTTTAAGAAAGAATAAAAGAATGTGCTATTGACCTTTTTGCAAAAACTAAATTGGAAATGTGGGCTAATTTTAGTTTTTTAGGAAAACATATTACCTGAAGAATACCATGAGTTGTTCATGAATTAGTACTCTTTTATTCAACTGAAAAAACTTGGGTAACTGGCTGTAGGCCATGGACTTACACTGTTTGGCCTCAAAGGCTAGACTCTTGAGTTTCTTCTGGAAGTTATGAAGTAGCAGAGTTTAAGAATTCCCTAGTAGAGCTGTCTGAAAATACCGCTGTGCCTCAGAGAGGAATACTGCATAATGTTGAATAATGCTGTTATGTACCAGACTCTTTATATACTTTCTTTATTGCTTAGAGCCACCCTGCAGGTTGGTATTATAATTTCCATTTTAGGTTCAGGAAATTGAGTCTCAGAAAGGTCATACGGCTAGAAAGTGGTGAGACTGGGATTTAAACTCAGGTATGTGTGACTATAAAGCTTATTTTTCCCCAGTAGGTCATATTAGTAGGTGCTCCTAAAGTGTCCCTTGCAAAGACTTTTTACTTATTTGGTCAACTTGTTAAGGATTGATTTAAGCCCTAGATTGAAAATTGTGTTTAGGCTCGGCACCTATAGCTCAAC